CACACACACACACACACACACACACACACACACACACGGAACTGGCCAGGCAGTTGAGGCCAGGCTGTTCTAAACAACCAGAGCTACTTAGTGAGATCAAAACACAACAAAACAAAACAAAAACCAACAACAACAAAAAGATGAGGTGGGTGACTAGAAAAATAAATAAATAAAACTTCTAAAAGTAGATTCTCCACACAATATTGATAAATTTCAAAGATACATAAGTGAGTAAATCAGTCACATACAAAAGAGAGCTTCCAGTCACCCCTCAGGATCAAGATGGGGGTTCCACATCTAGGGTCACTTCTATAAAATAGTACAGTATAACTACACAGTCCTCTCATGTACTATAAATCATCTCTAGATTACTTTGGATAACTGATATGATGACACTATTGTGAGATCATTGGGATACTCTTATTTAAAGATTAATGAGGAGAAGAGAGGTGATGGGAGGAAGTGAGGGATTCCTTCATACACCCACTACCGGAGTATTCATCAAGCTGTGTGTCATGACATCTGTACCTGTCTCTATGCGAGACTTCAACTCAAAGAATGCATCAGACACAGCTAAGAGGAAACCCATGCCCTGGACAATGGGGTTGAAGAAATTAGACCACAGCATGGTGAGAAATTGATGCAGAAGCATCATGGGGTGGGGGGGGAGGTACAGGGGAGACACCTGATACATATCTGATCTCAGACCCCCGAAAAAGAGGACAAGAAATTAGAGAGGAAGTAATATTGGTGAAGATGGTAAAGAACATCCCAGAAATGATAGAAATTACTTAGCAGTCTTCAGTCTCAGGGTTATAAGCTGAATAAGCAAACATCAACATTTAGCCAGAATTCACGGAAAGAATCCCAACACAGGAAATCATAACATCTTGAAATAAGAGGAATCCTACCTGCAGAAAATGGGAAAGGAAGTGGTAATCCGCACAGAAGAGTAAGGGCCCATAGCGACACCCTCATGACAGGTACTTGTCATAGTGATAATCGATCTACGGGCATTGCCATTGCCTTATTATGGGACCTGAAACAAGATGCTTACCCACAAGAAGCCTTCATTTCCTCAGAATAGGGTTCTTGGTAAAGATGAAACGAGGTGACATAAAATACTTGGCAAATCTTCCAGAGCTCAGTTAAGGCTCCTTTAACCTGAGCTACAAGTCAACCTCCTAATGAGCCAAAGCCCCAGAAGAGATGAGGGTCATGTTCACCTCAAACTACCTATAAAAGCTGCTAGCCCAGGATTCTCGCGGCCACTCCTTGCCAAGGAAGGAAGTGGAATAAAAATGGGGTCCAAAATGTGATGGCAGCTATTTCCTCTTGTAAGGTCAACAAGCCCTGCACCAAATGCCAGTGGGACACAGAAACACGGTTTAGTCAGTCTTCCATAATATTTTGTGACTGCAAGTGTGCAATTACAGCAAGTGTGTTACTATGCCAAGTGTCACAATGTCACCATGGTGGAAGGAGCCGATGGGTGTTTCTCTTCCTTCAGGTGCTTTCTGGGTGCTCTTCCCGTACAACCACCTTGCAAGTTCTTAACACAGCTTCCTCAGCCAGACCTAACTACCCACCACCTGTTTGTGGATGCCTCTAGTCACTGAGGTACCAATGCCTAGAAAAGTGCCCGGTTTTGTGCAGCAACCATTCTGCAAGTGTTTGTTGACTGAATAAGCTTGAGAGGTGTTATAAAGTTGTTGAACACTTTAGAGGGGAACCTAGGATTGTGTGAATGGCTATAAATTCACTCAACAGGAATCCCAAACAAGATTTTCATTTCTCCTTCAAATTCTGCCCCACCACATTCTGAACAGTGTTTCCCAGGACAGAAAAATAAATAAATAAAAACAAATAAAAAAAAACACGGAGTGACTAAGGGGAGCAGTTCATGGTGTGGCTGCCAGTTCCTGCCTGCCATCTTTTCCCGTTCTAAGCCACTCCAGGAGCTGAAGAAGCAAGGCTACTCAGCATAACACTGCCCCTAGGAGCCACCTCTCCTCTCCCGTGTAGCAGTTTGGCAGAAACTCAAAATCTCTGACCCTCTACAATGTGTCTGTGACATGCTAAGGGATGGCACAGCCACTGTCTTCCCAGTGGATGCTAACATGCAACAGGCTTTGACAATAAACTGCAGTTTGGGCCACCAAGGAAGCCCATAGGGCAAGGGACCAAGTGACAACATACCCCAGTTCTGTTCAGGAAGCTCCTCCTGCTACCTGTGTGCTTCCCCTCAGAACTCTACCACTTCCCCTTGCCCCCTGGGAGCCAAGGAGGATACAGGGGGGAAGAGAGTGAGAGAGGGGAAGGAGATGGCGATGCATTAAAATAAAGAGTGAGAATGCAGCAGCGTAAGGTTGGTCACACATGTGTTGTTAAGTCAAAACCATGTCCCGGTGTTTGTGGGAGGTGGAATTATCTCATTCTTTTAGCCGGCAAGGCTCTGTGATCCACCATTCAAGTATGTGATTGGATTTTGGCTCAACAAAACCTTAAATTACACACCTATTGTGCCTGAGTTAAGCCCAGCTTCACAGTGGTGGAGGAGGCCTCTGCAGCTTCCTTGGCAGCATTCGATCCAGTGTGGGTTCTCATCACCCATTGATGAATGAGTAATAGGATTAGAGCGTCTCGTCTCGGGCCACACTGTAATCTTCAGGTTGGGACAAAGGCTGGGTGATGGATAGGAGCTTCGTGGTCCAGACAGGCCTGCTCCTGCAGTGTGCCATTGACACAAGGGACAGACCCAGGGCCTCTGAGAAGACGGTGCCAAGTCTTGAGAAGAGGCCTGTTCATGTGAGTTAATGGTCTACCAGACGAACAGGGCACAGCACTCACACAGAAGGCCATATCTTAGCAAATGGCCCCTGAGGTGACAGATATCTCATAAGTTTTTTCTACTCAGTGTCCTCTTTTCACTTCTAGTCACTGGACCAATTCTGTTCCGTGGAGACTCCACCCCATTCCTACTTTGAGAGGAGATAGGGCAGGATTGGCTAGGCCTCCAGCTTGGGAATATGTCATGTGACCAAAACAAGTCCTTTAGGACTACTGGCATTCACTGTAGGTCCATTGTGTGGGCTTTCAGGACACAGCCTGGAGGCAGGACCATATCAGCATGGGCTGCTTGAAGACAGCAAGGTAAGCCAGACCATGGGATGAAAGGCAGGAGGATGCTAATCTGTCTGCCAGAAGCCAGGTCCACCCTTGGAATTTTTTAATCACTAAAAGCCAGCAATTTCCCCATCTTGATGCAAGACAACTTGAGATGGCTTTTCTGTCCAATTTTATAATTGGACATTTTATAAATGAACATTTTATAAATGAAGATGCAGCGTTCACAAAAGTCTGGCTACCTGCCTGAGTCCATGAGCCCAGAGCAGGGCAGAGTTGGGTCTCAAGACCAGGCTTTTAATTTCAGTCCACTGTGCTTTTCCATCCCTTGACCCTCCCTGCCAGCCAACTGTGAACCTGTACCACAGGACTCCAACACTGATCCCATGTGGGAAGGAACAGCCCAGCAGCCTGAGAGAGCCAAGACATGTTTTCAGACTAGATAGGTATGGATATGTTTTCTCTTCCTGTCAAAACTCCATCTAGCCAGCTGTGAGGGAAGTTTGTAAAAAACAGGAGTAAATGTTGGGAGATGTGTTGAGTTTTATCCTACCTAGACACTTTCTAGCTGGATGGCTTTGAGCTAGTACCTTAACCTTTCTGAGCAGAAATAGAAATAACTCCCTGGGACAACAATTAGGATCAACTGGAAAGTGCATCTGTGTCAGCTGCAAATAGGAAGTTCCTGTTACTTCGAACCAAACCAAGAGATCTGTATATGTTTTTCTCAAACAAGAGCATGTCAGATCTAGGTGTCTCCAGAATTACCTCAGTGACCTGCAATGGATTTGGCCTTCTGCAGTTGTAGGGTGATTCTGTAACTGCAGAACCTGGCACTTGAAGGAATTGTATTCCCAGACCTGTCCTGTCAAAATGGAATTCCCAGCATACCTCTCCTTACATCCCATTGGACAGAACTAGATCACATGACTGCTCCTAGCCGCAAGGGCCTCTGGGAAGATCAACAAAAAGTGCTTTGTGCTCTGTATCTCCAGTATCAGAACTCCAGGGAGGCAGTATTTGCCAAATGATAAATAATAAAAAGCACTGGACAAAAGCCAGCATGCTTGAAATACTTAGATCTGGAAGCAGCATTGTCCTTACTAGACAGCATGCTCTGCCAGCCAGCCAGGACATTTCTCATCTCAGGGCAGAATGTCACCAGGGGCCTCATGATTCCTGCCAGGCATCTCCCCTGACCCTGTATAGCCTCACCAGAAAATCCAGTCACTGGCCATCCCCATCTCCACCCTTACTCCAGAAGGGTCACATGCATTGCCTACCTTCTTGCAGCCATCATGGAGTGTCTGCAGAGAGAAGAGAATACCCAGGGAAGGATCTGAAACTTCAGGTCTGAAGGTTAGACATGGGTCATCAAGTGCAACAGGTGGGCAACTCCGGGGCTGCAGGAGCCTCTTCTCAGCCATCCTGAGGCTGCTTCCCTCACCAGTCATAGCCTGCAGTCTCCACAGGAAGGGTGTCCCTTCCCACTCTCGTCTCTGCTTCTGTCCACAAAAAAGAATCCTCACACCTTTCCACAAAGAGAGACTCAAGATCCTGGCCCAAGGGAACCATCATTCTTCTGGATAACACATAGTGGTGGTCTGACTCCTAACCCATCCATCCTCCCTGGGTCAGCAGGGACTGATTCTGTCAATCACCCATTCAACACTCAGTTATGAGTGTCTACTGATGTCAACTTGACACTGGATTCTGGGGCTACAGGCCAGCAGCTAGTCACTTGAGGACCCTGAAGAGCTTCCCTAACTGGTACCCAATGGGACACATAGCTAAGCTTCCTAGGGACAGTACCTAGAACGTCCCCGCAGCTTGCCCTTCGTCATTACTCAAGAGCATCCTACCTGAGGATTGCTTCTGTGTGTCTTGGGCTCTCCACGTCACTCTGCCTAGGCTGGCTGCTAAGTAATGACAAATGTTGGAGAGAGTGCAGAGAAATGGCCCCCTCATACACTGCCAGGGAGAATGCAAAATGGCACAGCTGCTCTGCAACAGGCTGGGAGTCACTCTGAGTTTAAACAGAGTTGCCATATGGTCCAGCAATTCCTCTTCCAGAGACATACCAAAGAGCTGAAAATATGCCCCAGAAAAATATTCACACAAATGCTAACAGCAACAGTGTTCATAAGTCAAAAAGTTGAAGCAACACAGGTGTCTAACTTCTGGTGACTGAAGACACAGGTGCATACTCTCCACAAAGAGATGTTAGTCACCCATGGAGAACAAGGAAACACCCTGCATGCCATAGATAGGCCAGCTAAGAATGTCATCCATGTAGATGCAGTCACCAAAGACTTCAGATTATGGGTCTACTTGCTTGTCCAGCTAGAGAGCCAGAAAGGAGGTCAGTGACAGACAGAGGCTGAGGGACTAGAGGGAACAGACCACTGAGAGATATAGGGCTTCTTTCTGGGGTGTTGAAAATTATTTTGTGGGGGATGGGTTTAGACAGTGGTGACGCTCACACTATCTCATAGATTTACTCAACACCACTTACTCTTCAAAGAAAAAAATGTTTGCAGGACAGTGAGATGGTTCAGTGGATAAAGGCATTGCCACCAAGTCTGCTGACCTGAGTTAGATCTCCAGGAACTCATGATGAAGAGAACTGGCTCCCAGAAGGTGTCTGATCTCCACATATGCACTGTGCTGCACACACATACACACTTAAGGGCCATGTTTGTGGCACATGGAGCATATCTCAAGATACCACCACAAACTGTAATCTCTCCCTGGCTCTGACTGCCATAAGAAAGGAATATTTTGCTGGGAAAAGGCAGCACCCAGATGCTTCTTCCTCCCCTGACAGCCCAGACAGCTAATGCTCCAGGAAGTCTGCCACTGCCTGCTGAAGCGCCCACAGCCTCCTGCAAGGCCTGACAGCCAGAGTGGAGGCATCACCAGGGCTTCTGCTGACAGCCAAAGCCTTCCCTGTGCTTTCCGCCCCTCTGAGTTCACCGCTTGACAAGAGAGCCATGCTGGACACTTGGCATGTCCTTGAGAAGGACATTGGAGTGGAGACTGCAGTGGCACCCTGTCACTGGCTTTGCCTGATTGTATGGTCCCCGGGGGGAGAAGAGTCCAGAGCATCCACTGGGGCCACTGAAGGTGATTTTTTTTTGTCATGACCCCTGTCCCCATCAAAGTCATCATACCTGCATGAGAAGAGTCCCTAAGGGGTCAGCATGGGCAATTATTCTCCATTTAAAGATTATTCTAGTGACCACACTGGAGTGAATGAAATGAATAGCTGGAATTTTCCTTCAGGCACAATAGTTTGGATGGACATACTGGGGACTCCTCAGGCAGGCTACTTTTCTAGAAAACCATTTAGCTAGGGATGGAACCCAGGCCTTTGCACATACTACACACCCACTCCATCACTGAGCAGTACCCAACCCTCCCTAGTGTGTTTAGTAGCATTTCCCCAGCCTGTTACATAAGTCTTTTTATTCCGCACACCAGTTCCTGAGCACTTAAGATGGAGGGCCGTTCTCCACAGCACTTCCACACATGTCTTTACAAAGACTACCTGCCCCTCATTCCTCAATTCTAAGGCCTGCATGACTATCTCACTGCCCTCACAGGGCTACGAAAGCCTTTTGGAGACACCTGGGCGGAAGGGCTAGTCTCATGACTCCTCAGATCCAAGGAAGCCAGTACTAAGAGACCTGAGCACTGTATTGACCTGGATTGTTTCTGAATCTAAGGTGTGGTTTGTTCAAAACCAAACAAACAAGCAAGTAAAACACCAGGGATCTGTAGAGGTCTCAAGCCCAAAGCTTTTGTCCTCAAATAAGACTCAGAAAAATATGAGAAAGACACAGCACATTCTAGAAGCTTTCCAGCTCCAGGTGAAAGAAACAGTTGTCACCCTTGGACCTGACCATGCTCCCACAACACCACAGAACATTCAACAAGGATGCCTACCGGCAGTCTGTGCCTGCTGGGCTCTCTAGCAAGCAGGGAAAGAGCCAGGATGGGGGCCAGAGGGCAGAGTCCTTTTTGACCCACCCGGAGTTCCTGTGAGACTTTGGCCTTGAAAATGGCCCTGTGATCAAGGGACATCATGCAAAAGACAAGCTCTCTGTCTGCCAGACACACTCATTCACAAACAGGAGTAAAGATCAAGACCACAAACAGGGGATAGTGTGGCAGGGAGCTGGAGACTGCAAGGCCAGCTGGGGCCAGGTAAGCAAGTTCCATCTCAAGAAAATACCAACAGCTCACAAAGAAGAAACTCATCCATATTCCAGAAAGACACCAAAAGGAAGAGACACCAAGAAAGAAGAATGTATTTGCAAATTTCCGGGGATGTTAGGAAACCTTAACTCAGTCCCTTATTTGAAAAGGTTTCCAGAGATGAAGTTTGATGTTACAATTCTGACTCATTTATTTTTTCTTTCCTTTCCATTTATTTATTTATTTATTTATTTATTTATTTATTTATTTTTGAGACAGAGTTTCTCTGTGTAGCCCAGACTGTACTAGAACTCCCTCTGTAGACCAGGCTGACCTTGAACTCACAGAGATCTGCCTGTCTCTGCCTCTCTAGTGCTGGGATTAAAGGCATGGGACACCACTACCTGGGCTGAGTCGCTCAATTTTTCAAGCACACACCCCATGCCCATACTGAGTTACAAATTTGAGTTCCCAAATCCTTGTGTCCTGGGGCCTCCCCTCCAGCAGGTCAAGGAAACAATAATATTTTGAAATCTTTAAAGGTGACAGTTCTAGGACAGCAGCAGAGGCCGTAGGATTTAGTGAGGAAATAACCTGGAGTACAAACTGGAGATGCAGGAGAGGAAAACACAAGGCAGTTGTTACCAGAGACTGAATGACAAGCAGCTCGTCTTGTTGGGTGATCTGGGGCAAATGGCATACTCCTCTCGCCTGGTTTACCCATCTCACTACAGAGAACATACAGCGGCCATCCACCTCACAGGACTGGGGAAATAACGTGCAGAGTGCTGAAGGTCATTCCTAACACACAGAGAATGCTCAATAAATTGACACTGTGTCACTCCTTGTGAAATGACTGTGTTCACCATGGGGCTGAAAAAGGGGGCATGGAGTTGTGGACTGTGTGAGGAGACCTCTTTTCTGGTCCCACCACAAAACCAATATGGCTGCCACCAGGCCCACTGCCACCTTAGGAAGCTCTTCTAAGGCTGGGGGCTTGTTGTACTTCTTAAGGTAAACCCATGGGCAGGGAAGTCTTCTTGTCTCTACCCACCCATTGCCTGTACAAGACCTGAGCTGTGCATCTCACTAAATGGTTGGACTTAAGTCCGAACTGGCCCCACCTCACCTCCCTGGGTGTGCATCCCCACTTAGGCCAAGATCACAGTGTCTCCAGCTCACTCCCAGAGCAGGTGGCCTGGAAGCCAAGTAATGTGGTCAAGCAAGTGATGTCCAAAGAATGTGACCAGGTCAGTAAGGGGTGCCTCGGGGATGGCAGAAGGCAGGATGTCCCTCACACACAGAGAAACTTCTTCATGATGTTCGTGGGGGTGAGAAACTGTCCCAAGGAAATTCTTCGGGGTTATTTCACCATCAGCAGCTGGTATTTTTTGGCAGCTGAAACAAGATAATAACCATGTTGAAATGGCACCCACGGCCTTGTAGGAACAGGGCATGACTTGTTACCTCCTCAAGCCTGGGCAGTCCCATCCACCTCTGCCCTCTCCCATCTCTCCTGGAACAGCCCAGGGCAGCTCACACCAGGGCAAGACAGATTAGCACCAGCTGTTGGGGAGGTGGGACAGAGGGAGTCTGATCTGAGTCAGCCCCTGGTTAGACACTAGGACCCACACAACCTACCAGAAACCCCTAAACACCATCACACCCATCTCTTCCCTCGGCAGCCCCTCCCACACTCATTCCACCCCAAGTGTACTTGGGCACATTTCAAAGGTCTGTTTAATAAATTACCACCTCTCCCTGACCTGACAATAACCACAGATAATCCAGGGCTATTAGAAGGCTTGTTTACAACTCATAATTCTAGGTTGTGCAAAGCCCAACAAGTTGAGAAAGGTGTCAACCATCCCCCTATGAATGGCATAGCTTGTGTTCACAAATTATATGTAATTGATCCAAAGATGTTGCAGACATTTGAGAAACAAAGGGCTTGCCTCCTCCCTCCCAGCCTCTCCTTTTGGGAATTTACCCCCAAGGAAATCACAGTGAAAAAAAAAATTAGTGCAGGGGTGTTGTTTATAAGAAGGAGAACTTTAGAAACAACCTAGGTGCTCAACAATAGGGGATTACTTAAACAAACCTTGGACATGTATACAATGTGATTCTAAGAAGCCATTTAAAATAATATTATGTAGGAGGCTGGATCCTGCCATGGGAGGAGTGTTAATCATCTGTTGTTAAGTGAAGGACAAAAAGCAGGCTACAAAGTAAAGGCTACAGTTAATGCCATTAAACTATTTTATATTTATACATGTACTTGACAGTGCTTGGGTGGTAAGGTGTGTGCTGTAAGCAGACAGACAAGTTTTGAGGCTGGATTTTCTTAGCTGTATGTAAATGACCTTGGGCAAACCACATGAACTCACCCTATGTTTCAGTTTCTTTATTCATAAAATGCAAAATAAAATAAAATACAAAAGACCAGCTTTGTGGGCCTGTTCTAACAATTAAACAAAATATTCTTCTAAAGATCTTCACTTTATATCTTACATAAAGTAATTGTTCAATAAGTGGGGAGTATTGTTTCTGTGAAGTAAAAGTAGATAATGCTGGGGGGCAGATGGGAAGATGGTTCCCCTCATTTTATGTTTTGCTAGGTTTGCTTCACTTGATCCTGGGAGGTACCATTAGAGTAATAACCTCACCCCAAAGTTAAAGTTAACAAAGCTGCCGGAGGGCTGGAAAAGGAGCTGTGACCTGTGACATGTGAAGAGTTGGGGCCTGGATGAATTACACGGAGACAAGGTGGCCACTTCTGCCAGTAGGGGTGAGGAGCTTTTGTGTAAGTCCATCACCTAGGAGGAAGCTAGGCCAAAGGGCAGCCACATCAGCAACCAGAGCCCAGAGAGGCCAAGAGAGACAGATGGAAACACAGCAAAACAAACTGCATATGCCTGGCACCCCCCCACACTCTGCCTCCTCCCCACCCTACCCCCCTTCCCGTGATCCCCATCTTGCTCCTCACTTCAGATAGTTGTATGATCCTGAAGAAAGGACTGAGCTGGGAATGGGGTTGTTGAGAAATGTGTAAACTTATGAGGGCCTTTCGCTATGGTCTGAGTCTTATAGTGAGGGCACTGGGGTGGTTGCTAATGATGGGGAGTGGCAGAAAGTAAATAGGAACTACTGGGAGCTAGCATAGCTCAGAATGTTCCATAAAACCCAGATTGAATGGCCCTTGTCTTAGCCAGGGGTCCCAAGAGTTCAGAAGTGCAGTCTCCAGATTCCTTGGGGCTGAAAATGTCACACAAGTCCACACTCCCCTGACATGAGCCCCCTAAGATGTATTACTGAGAGTCAGGGCTCTGCTGATCCTCCATAACTGGACTCCATCTCCCAGATATCAACAGTGGCCAGGGGCTGGAGAAGGACCTTGACATCAAAATGCAGTCTCTATCCTGTTTGTCCTAACTGCCTTCACAGGAAAAAAATCAATGAAGTCAAGTACTGAAGTCAGAGAGAGCCATGCTTAGAGAGGCACCCTTCATGGGCCTCCAAGGAAGACTGTGACATAGGAAGACATGGAAGAGGAGATTGGGTTCTTTCTGGGTCGTTATAGGGAGCCACCCCTCCCAGACTAGCCTGGGTCTCTATAGCCTCAAAACAGGAACTTGGCATCATACAAGAGGCCTGTCACCTGCCAATTTAGGAACAACAATATGGCAGAGGAGGTGTAAGATGCAAGGAGACTATCCTGCATTTACCACGAAGTCTTTGCTCTTCCCCACTCAAGATGGAGGGAAGACAGACCTGAAGTTGAGGCCCTTCACCTTCAGGTTCTCAGCTCTGTTGGCTAAGGGAGGGCTAAAGAGGAAAGCTCAGGGTGAGGATTTGTGGGTCACCCCTGAGCATGATAGTTCTGTCCACATTGGTCACTGTGGGCTGTTTCTCAGGCATATGCTCTATCTGGTTGGCAAAGTTAGTCACCTTGAGCTAATGGTAAAACATGAGCCATGACCTCACCTTCCTGCCACTTCCTGCTTGACTGCACAGCCCCAAAGCCAGAAACTAGTGAGTACAGAGAGACCGGAAGCCTTGGACACACCACTGGGAACACCAAATGCTGCAAACTGCAATTAACTGTTTGCTCAACAAGTTCAGCACAGTATTACCATATAGTCTAGCAACTCCATGCTTATGGATACCTCCAGACAATGGAAAATGATTACCCAAAGGCTCATAATGGAACTCTTCAGAACATACAAATTTTGGGGACAACCCAAATAACCAGCAGTAGACTCTTTTTTCTTAATTATTTATTTTTATCTTATGTAAAGATGAGTGTTTAACTCTATGTATGTATATGCACCGTGTGCATGAAATGCCCATGGAAGCCAGAAGAGGGTACCAAAGGTCCTGGAACAAGCGTTAATAGGCTGGGAACTGAACCCAGGTCCTGTGCAAGAACAACAAGTTCTCTTAACCACTTAACCATCTCACCAGACCTTGATTCTTAATATCTTTAATTTTATTCATTCAATGGGACATGACCACCATAGAGAGGAACATGGCTCTATTGTACACAGCAACAAGGATAAATGTGGATACATCATGTCAAATGAAGGAAGCCAAACACAAAAGGTCACACACTTCATGATGCCTTATATTCAAACTATCTAAGGTAGGAACATCCCTAGAACAGCAGGCAGGTCAATGGTTTCCCTGGGTGTGGTGGGGATGAGGGCTGGGAAGTAGTTGTTTCATAGCTCCTGGCTTTACTTTGAGTCATAAAGATGTTTGGGAACTAGACAGATGGACATTTGGACAGCTTTGTCAAAGTACTGAATGGCACTGAGCTGCGGGGGTGGTGGGGGCCAAATGCTGAAGAGTTTTGTGTAAGTATCAACACTAAAGAGAAATCAAGCCAAAATTAAAAAGTTTCTGCTTGCCACACCATGTGTTCCACATGGTCCCCTGCATCTGTAGAACAGGCCTCCCCAGCAGCAGCAGAGTTTATTACCCCACTTGACTGATAAGGAAACTGAGGCTCGGAGGTGATCTGATCTGCCCAAGGCTGCATACTCACACCCTGCTCTAGGCAGACCAGAGGTCTTTTTGTCTGCACAGAGGCTGGTTCTGAACTGCCCAGAAATTCCTCAGTGTTGAGTAAGACATCTCCTCAGGGGCTGAGGATGTGCATCCTGACCTGGAAGGCAAGGGAGCCAGAGCTCAGGATTCCATGCAGTTTCTTTGTTGGAATTCAGGCTGGAGAGCCTGGAACCCAGGGAAGGATGCTTAACACATGCCTGATATGCAACGTGGCCCATGGAGGACTGCCTTGGGCGGGGCTGAGAGAGAGCTAGAGAAAGGGGGGACTGGAGGAGCTGAGGCCCTGCATTCAAGGAACTGAATGAATGGTGGCAAACTGTTCTTGAGCCTTCAAAGTCATCCTGCCATCACCCCCAAACCTCCACCCTTGAAATGGAGACAAAGGACACTAACTTTAAGATTAGTGGCTTTGGTACCTAGGTACTAAGATTCACTAAGTACTCTCTGTGTCCCTCACTGTCCCAAGCACTTGACCTGGCTCTCTAGAACCTTGTAAGGTAGGATAACTGTTACAAAGATAAATCTGAGAGCATGGAGCCCAACCCACCTCCCTTCATGTGCCATGTTTAAACCACACTTGTAAATGTTGACCCCTGTTGTCTGCGACTAAGTATGGGATGTACCCTGGCCATGCAATCTCCGGGTGAAGAATGGTGTTTATCCAGGCAGAACTCTCTTCCTATGATGCCATATGTGAATATGGTGCTGGGAACATGGCAGCCATCCCTCTTCTGCCTGATAATAAAATAGATATGAAGATGGCAGAGCAGAGATGTAAAGACATGGCACTGATGGTGCAGGGAGTCATGGGAGAGGATGAAATTCTTCACCATTCTTATAAGCATAGGGACCACAGCTGACAGGTCCAGGCTATGGCTAAGAACTGGGAGGCAATGAGAGGCTGGGCCAGTGGGCTAAGTATCCATACCATTAGGCACCAGGTAGTCCATCCTTCACCCTCATAAGACCCTGTGGACTGCACAGGATTGCTGCCACTGCAAATGCAGCATCATGTACCATAGGAGGAAAATCAAAATGACCAGCATCAAGCATGCAAGTGGAACTTTGGAAATATAAAGGATGCCCCAGGGCAGAAGCATCACCCTGCATCCCAATCCCCGTGCAGTGTCCCTGAGCCCAGAGTCTAAAATCTCCACTCTCCTGTCAGCTTCTAGCCCTCAGAAGTCCAGGTTTCCAAATTCTGGTCTCAGCCTACCTGCTCCTGGTAGCATCATGGCACAGCCATAACATTCCCTTCCCACCCCAGCAGCCAGCTCATCTACCTTTCCACACTCCAATGAGTGGGGAGAATGAGCTGCCAATATCTATACAGCAGCCAAGGGGATCTTAAGCATTCATAACACTCTCCTGCCCCAGAAATTTTTGCTTCTTCCTACTGAGCCTAGTATCAAACCAAACACAGTTGTGACTCAGAGGCCATGTGCTTCCGGGCCTGACTTGAACTTCACCTTGACCCAAGCACCTCCACCCTGACCCCATAAGTTCCTTGCACCTGGGAAATGCACTCCCAGCCTAGGGCTTTTGACCTTGTTGGCCATTTAGCTTGTACAACACTCTTTCCACAAGGTCATGTCACTTTATGGTTCCCTAGAAAGGCATATCCTGTTTGTCTCTGGTTAGGCATCCAATATTATTCTACAGATATCATATTCTTCTTTGACATCATCTCTAATTTTTATCTTTTTTTCATTATTTTTCCATCATACATACACAACACACACACACACACACACACACACAGAGAGAGAGAGAGAGAGAGAGAGAGAGAGAGAGAGAGAGAGAGAGAGAGAGAGACAGACACACACTTGGGAAGGTCCCTCCATGTGCTGGGGACCATGTCAGTGCAATCCACTGCCATATCCCTAGCATCCAGAACAGAGTTAGACACACAGTAGGTGATGGACACATGGTAGGCATTCAATAACATTTGTTTAAGGGCTAAGTCTCCTCCAGGTGAAGCTAGAGTGTGTCCTTTGAAGAGGGGTTATTGTACCCACTCTTATCCACACTCAGGAGCCTTGTTGCCACTAAAGGCGCTTACACAGATTCACAGAGAAAGATGCAGACTTCAAGTTCATGCCTAAGCTCTGCCAGTTCTCAAAACATGACCTTCAGCAAATCATTTACCCTCTCTGTGTGTGCCTCAGTCTGTCAAGTGGGAATCATGGAGTTCTTAGACTTCCTGGGAAAGACAAGTGAGAAAATATATTGGCATTCTCCGAACAGCTTCTGGAGTATGTGGCACCTTCAGTGTCAGGACAGCAGAGAAGAGGGGACAAGGACGGATGTGTGCTGCACATCCACAACAGAGCCCTGTCTAACATCACTGCATCACCCAGAGATGCCTGTCCTGGTGAGAGAGGGTGCACAGGGGTCTGGACAGACGTGTGCCAAAACCTTTCCCTAGTTTCCATGATGGGTTCTTTGCTAGGTTCAGGATTGTCAACACCCAAAAAGCCTTGGCTCCCCCAGATTTAATCCAGAGCAAGCCTTACGCATCAGGAGAAAAGTGGGGAATCCACTCAAGGACAGGGAACTTCCAAGTCCCTAAAGCTGCTGCAGGGAAACAGTTTCTGGCAGGATGAGTTTGTTAATAGCTGCTAATTGGTCATAAGGAGAATGGAGGGGAGCAAACCATTTGGCTCCGAGTGAATGGGCCATAACCCAAAGGGATTGTATCGGCCTGCATGCATTTTAAGAGTTTCCATTTATAAAGTGTCTTGACCATAAAATGGTCCACTAAGACCAAGGCTTTAAGAAAATGAGCAGAATGTTGAGGATCATATGTAGCCCACAGTTCCCCAGCTACTCTTACTTGAGAGCCACCTCGAGGCTGCCAGGCTGCCTTAGGCTCCTTCTTCCCTGCTCACAAACCCTTACAGGGTGGGGGTGGAGGGTATTGCTTGTACCTGAACACTGGAAGCCACCCATATTTCAGCCTAAGTTTGGGCATCATTCAAAAGAGCCAAAGAATGAGGGTGTTGTCTTTAAAGTTCTGTATGGGCACATGTGAGCTGTCAGTTGTCCTTTTGCTCCTATTTCCCAGAACAGAGAAATTACCCCTTCTTCCATGATCTTACTGGCCAGAAATAACCATAACCAACATCATGATTTATAGCTCTCTGGAGACATGAATTTCACTATATTAAGTATTTTGATAGCTAATATACTGAATATTTACATATAAACCACCTAGCTTTAAAAAAAAGCATCCGAATCAAGCTCGGTTCCTCTATTCTCTGACTCTCTTTTTTATACCATGCCCTTCCCCATGTCTTCCCAAAAGCAACCTGTTCTTCCCAGAAGTTACCCTTTTTGTATCACTTTTCATCCCACTGTTCACCCATGTGTTTGCTTTCTGCAACCTCAACCCAACACAGCCCGGAATCATTTGAGGGGTCTCAGCAGAGGGATTGTGGCCCAGATCATATTGGCCTGTGGTCACATCTTTGAGGACGTGTATAATTGATGATTGATGCAGGATGTCCCAGGCCCTATGGACAGCAGCATCCCTAGGCAGGTGGCCCTGGACTGTATAAGAGAGCCAGAGCCAGCCAGCCAGGAAGGCAGTAAGCAGCGTTCTCCCATTTTCTTCTCCAACTTCCTCCCCTGAGTTCCTGCCATGACTTTCCTCAGTGATGGACTGTGACATGGAAGTGTAAGCCAAATAAACCCTTTCCTCCACAAGGTACTTTTGGTCAGTGCTTTATCGAAACAACAGAAGGGAAACTAGAACACATAGCACATCCTGGTCTAAAAGTATTATGTGAAAATTTCCAGAAATAATCTATTCCTAAGCGTTAAACTGTGCATTTTGGGAACAGTGTGATAAAATCCTTTCCATCTTGATGCCAGTCATTGTTTGGCCCAGCACATCCACACTATATATGCTACACTCCCTTTAGTCACTTTAGTTGGCGATCAGAACATTGGTCAGTATCACAGGGCTTGTGTTCAAGTCACCATTATTGTATGTCCCTAAAACAGGAAAGTAAAGACACTAGTGATTTAGATATAGTAAAGACAACTTGTGAAGTCATTCATGTGAAAAGATAAAACAAGTCCTGAGTACTTTGTGAGGAGGACAACTTTAGTGAGAGTTTAGTGTTATTTGTGGTTTCAAGCACTCATTGTGAATCACAGGCTTACAAACTGCTAGAGGAGGGTACTGCTGTGCCCATAAACATATGTAAAATTGTGTCACCCTTTTGAAAACAGTAAAACAATTTACTTACATAGCAATCTTAATGCACTTAACTTTCTCCATCTTGCTTTTCCAGATTCTCCGTGCTGTCAGCGTTGGAGCACTATTTGTTCATTCTGCTTTCTGTCTCATTATGTCATTCTACCACAATCTATTTATCCATTGTCCTATTAGGAAGTCCTGGTGTCGAAGGTCTTCCGCTTCACAGGCAGTGCTACAGTGACCATTCTGGCAGCCAAGTCTTCCAGCACATGCAGACATCCCACTGGAGTATGCAACTAAAGAAGAAATGTCCATTTCATGGTATGAGCATCTTAGACTCTGCTGGACAAGTTGCTCTCCAAGATGTCCACACAATCAGCAGGCTTACCATCAAGTAGAAATCAGTGAAAACACTTTGAAGAACAATTGGGCAATATCTACACAGGCATGAATATCTCTGTGCTCTGCACTCTTGCTAAATGGTGTTGTCAGACATTCAAATTTTTGCCAACTGTTGGGTGTGGACAAATATTTCATGGCTGTTTTAATTGCATCTCTATAATTAACCAGACTGAACACCTTTTGTATGCTCTCTGGCCTTTCCAACTTCTTGTTCTGGGATTTACTTGTCTGTACCCTGACTAATTTCAACATATAGATGATAGATATAGATAGATAGATAGATAGATAGATAGATAGATAGATAGATGACAGACAGATACATACATACACATACATACATAGATACATAGATGATAGGTAGGTAGATGATAGATACATACATACACATACATACATAGGTGATAGGTAGATAGATGATAGGTAGATAGATAGATAGATACAGTCTTTGAACAGTTTATAAAGAAGTATGCTTTGAACCATTTCCTAACACAATAGATCTCTTTAGCCTAGAGTCTACATTGTATTCTGCAAATGAAGCTTGAACTTATTACCAGCTAACAATCCCTTCTGCATTGTCTTGCAATTGTACCACCAATACACTGTGATTTACTAATCATTTCTCTATAAATGGACATTTTATTCTCTTTTTCTCATTATAAATAGTGAATTCTGTAAAATTTAGCCACAGTCATAGTATTTCTGTGGAAAATGGACAATTCTGTGAGCTACAGTGATACTTACAAAAAAAGAAATTACAACAGTAAAAGTTTCCCAGATGCAATTCTTCCCCCTTCTAACAGCTCAAAGGGCAGCATGAGAATTACTTCTTAGGAAATATGTTTGGCAAGATCTGCTAAAGCTAAACATGCCGTTACCTCTGACCCAGGATTGCGATCCTGTGGATGCGTCCAACAAAAATAGATTCATGTCTCCATGAAAAGCATGAGTGTTCACAATAGCTTTATTCATAAGTCACATAAATCAGTGTGCTAATGGCAGGCTCAATGCCATGGGCAGATCTGAAGACACAAGGAAACCAGCCTTGAAAGAAAAAAATCTTCTCTAATTCCATGTGCACAAAGTCCAGGCATGGGCAAGACAATGCACATTAGTCTTATTTAGAAATTAGAAAATTAATTAGAAATAAGAAAAAAATGTCTGGATGTGATGACACATGTCTATAATCCCATTACTCAGGAGGCTGGGGCAGGAGGATGGCCATGAGTTTGAAGCCAACCTAGGCTACATAGATAGATGCATGGATAGATGGATGGATGGATGGATGGATGGATAGATAGATAGATAGATAGATAGATAGATAGATAGATAGATAGATAGATAGATGAAGGAAAGAAATATGGTTAATCAACATCCCCAAAGCAGAGAGGTTCAATTAAAATTAAGAGACAGGTTAGATCCAAAAGTTACAAAATTCCAGCAGAGCAGGAAGAATGAGTCTAGTTCTGTTTCCTACATGGTAACTAGAGTATAACTAGAACACTTTTGAGAAGGGGTTTACACACACACACACACACACACACACACACACACACACACACACACAAGACAGAGAGAGATTAGCTCCCTTACTAGTAACTCTATAATGTTTGCATATATCAAACACATACAATAAATAGATCCGATTTTGTCTGTTAAAATAAATAAAAACAAGCTGATGTGATGGTACTGTCACCTCAGTTCTCAGAAGGCTAAGGCAAGAAAACCAAGAGTTTGAAGCCAGCCTTGGTCACATAGCAAGACCCTGTATCAAATTGCTTAATTAATATTATACAAATAAATTGTAAAAATGTACATACAACTTTTTTCCTTAAAAAACATAACTTTCTGGTTATTCAGTTTGGGTTCCACTTAAGTGAAAGGCAAATTTTACTGAGTCTTAACTACTGAGAGTAACATTTCCTAAATTTTAGCCAGCTTAATTTTCCTGGTGAGCTCGATGGTGCAGGCATGAGTGTCCCTATGCTCATATATGGAAAGCAAAGCATTAGGCGATTTGTCTAAGGCCCTAGCTGCATTCAGACTCTATCGATAATCACTTGAGTCACAGCTGTCATGGCTGTTGCTGACTAGGCACATAGTGTGTCAGACGTTATTCCAACAGCTTTTACGTGTATTATCTCATGTCATCTGCAAGATGATCTCATGCGACAGGCGCCATTATTATCTCCATTCTACAGGTGAGGAAATTGCGACAGTAAGTCTCTTCCCCCAGGCCACACAGCCGGTCAGTGGAGGAGCTGTGCTCTCTCATTTCTGTGTGGCACATGCCCCAGTTCTGACTTTTCTAGCCCCAAGACTATGCATGGAATCTGCCTCCTGCCTCATGACTCCAGGCTATGCTGCTGCACATTGTGGCAGCTGTTTGCTTTGTTCCTGACTCTTCTAATGGAGGCAGTGTTTATTTGTTGATGTGTTTTTCACATTCACTCATCTGCTTAGAGGTCAGAACAAAAAGCCATCAAGCATGGAACCCCAAATATCCCCCCAGGTAAATTAACAAAGAACTTCACCAAGGCAGAGAAGCTAGGGAGGGGATCCCCATTGTTTCCCTATGAAGAGCCAGACTTCTTCCCAGATCCCAGAGAGCCCACCTCAGCTCAAGGTTTGTGGTGACATGACTTTTGTAGAATAGGCATTACCTCGGGATGATGTTTTCATGGGAAATACAGCTGCCTGGAGGTCAGCTTCAGAGGTTTATGAAGAAACTGACGCTCTAACCACCTAACCACTTTAGAGAGGAATGATGCCTGACCGCCCATCAGCTTCTTGTCCAGCAGAGGCCTAGACCACACCACAGCAATAATGTGACACCAACAGCCCTCCTAGGCTGCTGTCCTTAGCCACCAGGCTCCCAACTAAAGCTCTACTCCACCTTTGTCAACTTACAAATCACTTTCACAAAGAACAACAGAAGCAGTAAAGAGAGTATCCACAGGCTCAGGTCCATCCAGCAATGGCAGCATGAGAAACAACAAGGTCCAGACCTCTTTCCATCTTCACGAGGAACATTTCCCCAGGGGTCTCAGAAGGAAGAAGTTGGACTGGATGCAGAAGAGAGAAGGGCTTCAAGGGAGCCACTGAAAGCCCAGGCTCATGAACCACATAAATAAGAAACCTGGGACCAAGAGCTTACTAAGCATCAGACCCTTCATATAAACTGACTCTCGTCCCTTCCGTGATCCTTCAAGACAGGGATGCTAGTCAGCCTTGTTGGACAGAAGGGGAAAATGAGGCTCAAACTAGGTCAAGTAATCACTGCTCAGATCTTGAGAGGGCGGCTCCCTGCTGAAGACCCTTACTTCCCTCTGCAGAGGAAGTAAGAAAGAAAGGAGAAGCAGGGGCATGGTGGCAGGGCAGTCTACTCTGAGGAGATGTTGCCCTTGACCATCTCCCACAATGGGGGTAAAGTCAGCACCCACCCTAGTCTGTTTCTCTGCTACCTTGCACCAACTTCCAGGACAAACAATTGCTCACAGCCTTTCCCAGAAAGGTAACAAAGAGGACAGAGGCCATCATCTAAGCAGTGTATAGGCAGCAGGCTTCAGGTTGGGATAAGGCTTTCTGGAAACCATTGGAGAATCCTGAAGAGATGCCTTGAGCAGGTAGGCCAGCCTGGATTCAGAAAGGAAGCTATTTCCATTGCCAGGAAGAGCAATAACACCCTGGGTGTCAGAAGGGAGCCCTGGATTAAAGAGAAGGGATTAGAGTGCGGACTGGTGAAAAGCCAGGATTCATGACTCCACTCAGGCATGCTCATTCAAGCTGCCCTCAGCCAGGGTCCATTATTCCTCTGGTTGTACTATGGCCTAGTTCTGAGCAGAGTGGGCTGGACTGGGTGGCAGCCTAGAGTCAAAGCAAAGCCCTTTCCTCCAGTCCCTGGGGGCAGCACCTGCAGAGGCCACTCCAGAGAGTCCCCGGAGGGGACCACCAGCTGTTCAGTTGCTGGATGTGAAGAAAGGAGCCCCTCTGGGGATATTATTGGAAAAGACTCTGCCAAGTCAGAAGGAAGGCACCCTTCTCAAAACAGAAATACTAAATGTAAAACTGTTCCCAAGCAGCGTTTTCAAATACTTCAGAACAGCGAAGTGGCCACAGCCATACACAGGCTCACAGCTTCTGGCTCCCCAGCCAAGCAGGTGGAATCTGAACCCTGATTATACTAACTGTGCAGTCCAAGGCAGATGCTCAGCCTCAGCAAGCCTCCCATCCTCACCTTCTCCTCCAAGCATCCTTCCATCTACTTCACCAGAAATGACTGGAAATGGCTGGCACTGAGCTGCCCAGCCTAAGTATCTGGGACTAATGAGTCATTGATGACCAAATTGCCCAGGCCGCTCACTTTCTCTGCACTCAAAGTCAGAGCCTATCCAGTATAATTCCAACACCAGAGATGTTGAGAAAGGAGAATGACAAATTCCAAGACCCAACAGCATAGTGAGAGCATGTTGCAAAGAAATACAGAAGGTGGGGTTAGAAGGGGACATGGGAGGGGGAGAGAGAGGAAGGGAGAGAAGGGAATAGAAAGGAAGGTGTTTGGAGAGAAGAGGAAGGGATAGAGAATGATGGGGGGAGAAAAGAAGGGAGGGAGAGGAGAGGAGGATAGAGGAAGGGAGGGCAGAGAAGGGGAGGGGAGAGGGTTTGTTCCTGGGCTCCTCAGATCTAGGCAGGCTGCTGATTGGCCTTAGCAGGCAGCACACTGAAAGCAAGGGCTTCAGTTTGCTTTATCCCATCTACCTAACTCTTTTGTATTTCCAAGAGAGCAACAGCTCAGGTCACCTCTAGAAGGCTGAGACACGTGGACCCATGCTGCATCTGCTTGACCCCTCAAATGTGTTGTGAGTTTATCTGAAGTGACCTACTGTCACACAGCTGACCACAGGCCAGTGACAGAGCCCTGCCAGTGGGCTCTGAGCTATCACACAGTGAGCACAAGCAGCTGTTCATTGAGATAGCTTGAGCACCCTTCATGAAAACATCCACTCAGAAATGCTCTAAAAGCTGATGCTTTCTGACACACCACAGGTGGAAAATTCCATCCCTGCTCTCATGACATGGGGCACAGAGAGCAGGTGTGCTACAAAAATCACACAGTTCCCTTCAGGCAGTGTGCATAAGGTAGGCCTAAAACAAAAAGGGACTCATTCAGACTTGGGCTTTGTCCACACATGGTCTCATTACAGATACATGAAAAATATCCCAAACCCTGAACTCTGAAATACCTCTCATCCTAAGCATGTCAGATAAATACTATCAATCCTGCCAGGTGGCGGTGGCATATACCTTTAATCCCAGCACTTTGGAGGCAGAGACAGGCAGATTTCGAGTTCAAGATCCACAGCCTGATCCACAAAGTGAATTCCAGAATAACCAGGGCTACACAAAGAATCCCTGTCTCAAAAAAAAAAAAAAAAAAAAAAAAAAAAAAAAAAAACCTATCAATCCGTGTGCAACACTGAGGTGTCTGTAGTTATCACATGCTATCATTTTGGTCATGTTAGAACTAACAGTTGTTACAAAGCCATCAATGTACCAATGTCTCCTGGCTTCAAATCTTGTTCCTCCTATTCTCCTGGGCACATTGTTTAAATTCCTGGTGCCTCAGCTTATTGCCAAAATGGAAGTTGATAGCAGAAAACCCATAAGAAATATCTTCTGATAGTAAATGAATAAATCCCAAGATGTTTATGTCAGTACCTGGTAAGTCCTTAATGCTCAACAAGTATTTGCCACTAAAATACTGTCTGCAAATAGACTATGATGCCATTTTTCTCTATTTCCCATCCTTATTCAAAATATTATCTAGATAGTTTCTGCCCATTTATAATGAAGATGGAGGCATCTTTCCAAATTTCAGACCCCAAGGGTGTCACCTTTGGCCAAGTCTTTCACTGAGTTCAGCATGGCTTAAACTTGGAAATGATAAGACACCCCACACACACTACACCGGGCCTTGCTTAATTCTCCAGTCTGTTCTTCTCCCAGGCATCAGTACACTTCTCATAATGCAATAACGAGAGCAATTACAGCCTCCATATTGACCACTCTTCTGTGTTGAGTCGAAGCTGAGAATGTCTCTTACAATGTGTCACTGAGTGTTGTGGCCTCCTTGTAACCCCCATTTCACAGATTAGGAAACTTAAGAGTGGTTTGCCCAGGTCACCCCACTAATAAGCAGCAGAGGAAGGACTTAGGGTTCTCCCTGCTCCCCTGAGTCAGGCTGCTCAGAGGCAAAGCTGGAGAGAGACTCCCACACCAACTCCCTTTGCATCCTGCCCTTGGTGTCAGGCCAGGGCCCCACGTGGGCCACACTTTAGAAGAGATGGGGCAGTAGGGAGACATGCTTGCCATAGTTAAGAATCCTCACCTGAGAAAAAAACAGACTGTCATGGAGAGCATCAGCAGCCTGGCTGATGATAACACCACCTTGCTGAGCCCCACACCCCTACCCAGGCCTCAGGCTGTTCTGTGACACCTTGCAGCTCACCACATACTAGGTGGTCATTAAGACTACACTTAAATATCAACTCCCGTGTGCCAGGCATCTTCCTTCATGCCACACGTATCTGCAATGTAATATGGACGGTGCTAACTGTTCCCTGCTCCCCAGATGAGAAATGAAGGGTCAGAAATGGTAGAATGTTTGACTGAGCCAAATTCTAGCTCAGAAAGTCTATGCTCTACAATCATTGTTCAGAAACCACTGTACTGCTGCCTGTTAAGGCAGTCAAAGAAGGCTCAAGAAGGGCTCTGTTTTGGGTCCTTCTATGTGGCCCTCAGGCAGAGGGGTCAGATGAAAGTATATCACCGTGGGTCACCAGGATCCATGGCTCTTCTTTTGGATGTATGAAGGATGGTGATTCCTGGTCTTTATGACTAGCCAGGGCTGAAGAATTGGGAGCAGGCTCAAGCCACCAGGCACCTGGGCAAGAAGGACCTCTGAAGCCTGAAGCTAAGATACTTACCACTGGCCTGAGGTGGCGCTTCCCCAGCCTGAAGACTGGTGATTGATGCCGTGGAGTCTGCCTGGCCTCTCATCTCCCCCACTCTGGCTTCTGCACTCACCTATGTTGGTTACAACATACATGTGAAAAGGAAGGCTGAGCTTGAAGTCAATAGCATTTTGGGGATCCTTGTTATTGCATCCCAGTCTCACCTCTCCTGATTATTGTAGGTCTGGCTGTGTGAGAAAGGGAGGGATTTCAGGTGCCTGACAGTCAGATATACTTCAGGGGATCTGAAGACTCAGAAACCAGTCTTGTCACATCCGTTTCAGTGGAAATGTGTGTTCCTTCTGCAGAGGAGCAGAGAGCTTTTTCTAACCCAACCAAAGCACGCTCCAAATGTTAAGATCAGAGATGAAATTATGAACAGAAGATGCACAACAGGACCCTTCCTCAGACCAGGCAAACACAGAAGCCTCTTATTGCTTCCATGATCACTAACTGGGAGAAAGGTTGACCCAGCTGTGACTTCACCACCCCTGGGGCAGGCAGCCCCACAGTCTGGCACACTCTAGCTTCACCTACCAACACCAGGGCCCTGACTTGCATTTCACCTGGTTCCTGCAGCATCACAGATTCTCAGAGAGAATAGCAGAGAGCTAGGAGCTGCTGGGTAAGGATGCTAGCTCAGAAGGTCACAAAGCCCTCCCTAGAGGGACCAGCACATCAGCTGAGTCTTTAGACAGATTTGGAGATTTCTAAAAGGAAGAAAAAGCCATTCTAGTCAGAGAAATCGTGTGTGTGTAAAATTTGTGGTTTTGTTTGTTTTGTCATTATTGGTTTTTGGTGTTTTGTAATTGTTTGTTTTTGTTTTGTTCTGTTAATTTGAGACAGGGTGTGGTGGCCTGAATGCAAAGGACCTCCATAGGTTCATATGTTTGAAAGCTTGGTCCCAAGTTAGTGGAATTGTTTGGGAAAGATTAGGAGGTGTGGCCTTGTTGGAATGGGTGTGTTACTGGGAGTGAGCTTTGAGGTTTCAAAAGCTCATGCCAGGTCCAATCTGTCTCTGCTGCCTGCCTGTGGCTCATGATGTAAAGCTCTCAGCTATTGCTACAGTGCCGTACCTGGCTGTTTCCCACCATGATGATCATGGGCTAAACTGTAAGCAAGGCCCCAATGAAATGCTTTCTTTCATAAGAATTTCTTTGGTCATGGTGTCTTCACAATAGAACATTAACTAAGACAGAGGGTTTCACAATGTAGCTCTGGCTAGCTTGGAACTCACTATGTACCAGGCTGACCTCAAACTCCCAGAGGTCTGCCTGCTTCTACCTCTAAAATGCTGGAATTAAAGGTGTGCCTGGTGGGATGAGGTATTCATAGCAATGGCATTTGCTCTTATCTGCACCTATCAATCAACACAACCAGACTCCTGAAAGCTTTGATGGATAAGGACTAGTGTTAAAGGCAGTCTTTTGGGGGTGGAGCCAGGTAACCATAAAGATGGTCACCTTCAAACCTTGCTCCAGTCAATTCTGTATTGTCATCAGAACCTTGAAGTATAATGCAGATTTGTCACTTAAGAAGCTTGGCATGTTTCCTCCCAGGGATCCTGGGACCTTCCCCTTGAGCCCACAGAAGTTCCAGGGCTACCACAGGGCAAGGTAGCAACCTCAGCCTCTCCAGGCTGAGCAAGAAGGCCTTCTCATCAGACATGGAGTCCTGACTGGCTCAGTGGGGTGGGAAAGTGGGTTTAGACAAAGAGCCAAAGAAGCCAAAAGACACAAGGAAATTTGGTGCTCTGTGTGCACAGGTCCAGCACCAGCCTCAGGTACCATAACAGGTTCAGACATTGACTCTCCACTCTCTGGTCTTGAAGCTCCAGCTCTGTGATTTTGCCTGTCAACATTAATCTATTTTCTTCCTATTTCTCCTTGGTTGGTTTAATGTCTCTTTGAAGGGAACTTCAAGCAAAATGGATATTCAGATGCTCTCTCCTTCAGTGCTGGGGACAGAACCCATGGACTGGAACATTCTAGGCAACCCCTCTGCCACTGAGCCACATTGCAAGCCTACAAGTTGACCTAGAGGGAAGGCACCCGAAGAGTAAACATGTTCCGAATGGTGCTATTAAAGTGTAGCTGGGTGATGTTTCCACTCAAACTCTCCATGCGTGGAGCTTGCTCTTTGTTTTTATTATAGCAATTTATACAGAACAGAAAATTGGTCCCCACGACCGTTTTTATCCATGGTGGTGGCTATGTTTGTTTACTTGTTTTGTTTTCTTTTTCCCCAGCAATGGGCCATCAGACCCCGAGCTTTGTGAGTGCTAGGCAAGTACTCCACCACTGAGCAAAACCCTCCCCAGGCCTATACCAGTCAGCTCAGTGGCCCTCACCTTCCTGACAATCCATCACCAACAGCCATCTCTTGAACCTCTTTCATTCTTCCAAACTGAAATTCCACAGCCATAAACAGTGGCACCCACCCCACCCTTGTCCCAGTCCCAGGACACCTTCTGTCCCCATAATTTCTTTGGTTTAAAGGGAAACTGGAACAAATTAGAGAAGTGTGACCCTTGTTCTGACAAACAGACATAGCATGGGGAAAAAACAAATAAGTCATTTTGCTCTGTGGGACTTGATGCCCCCACACCATGACTGATCTAAACTCTTAGCATGTGTGGCACAAGTTTCAGATGGCCCACTAGTGTCCCTAGGTTTTTCTGTCTCTAGAGTCTGATTTTGCTACAAGCATGTGACTAAATCTGAATCTGACACATGACAGAGAGAAGGTGTGGCAGGATTTCTTTTAATGCTCTCAACACTGCTGAGAGAAAAATGGTTTCTACTTGACTGAAGAGGGTGTGATCTATCTCAGCAGGACAGTAATGCCCCCAAAGTGACACAATTATCCCATACCAGGGCTTGTGGCTCTAACCTCAAGCCTCTTCCCTTTCAACTCTACCATGCAGACTTCCCTAAGGCAAGTTTCAGAAGCAAAGCCCAGACATACCCACAAAGAGGTGGCTCTGCTGCTCAGTAAATGCAGTCCACACTCAGCAAGCAGACTCCTAACAAGCTAATCAAAATAAATTGGGGTGGCGCATGCCGGGTAACACTCTTTCCCAGTGCATAAATGCTACTGTCTTTTTTTTTTTTTTTTGTCCATGTGACCACTGAGTGGGCCCAATAATGAATGCACAGGAGATGCTGGCCATCAAGAGACGGTGCCCCTCTGCTCATCTCAGGGGACCCACCCAGCTCCTGACCAGGCCTTTGCACAGCAAATGGCTATGCATACTCTCTCAACATTTGGACATGTCTGCCCCCACGGGATACTGATACAAATGGATTTGACACACACAAGGCACCCCCTCCCAGCTGAGTGCCCAGACTGCTGAGGGCTGGCAGCATCCTCTTGGTATTGCTTGCCTTCATCTTGTGTGTGTTTAAATAACAGGCAGGCAGAGACTTTCACTAAGTATCTTCCAGTATGCCAAGAATGGCGATATTTCCCTGAACTCCACCCCACCTGATAGCGATTCCGTGTCTACAGAGGCTCCCAGCTCCCTGGCTGGCCTCCATTAATGTACCAGGCTCAGAGGGAGCCATATGCATAAAGTTCACTTATTAGTAGGAGTCTTCTGCATTTTCAGCCTCAGGGATGCAGCCAGGTACCTGGCCTGACCCTCCCTGCATACATTTGCTTTTGCCCCACAATCTTCCTCAGTGTGGAGTGGTTTGAGTGTGCTGCCTTAAAGGCATCACATATACAAACAGTCATCTCTAGGAATCCTAATGGGTGGTTCCAGAGCTCTCCACCCCCACATGTCAAAATCCATGACTGCTCCAGTTCCTTATATGAAGTGACACAGTGTTTGCATGTGGCCATGAACACCATCCTGTAGACTCTACATCACTTCTAGGTTGCTTTCAACACCTTGTACTCTGTAAGTGCTAGGGAGGTGTGCTGTTGTGTTACATGTGGAATACTGAGAGAAAAAAAAGAGTGCTCGACACGTTCGGCATGGATGGAACAGGATTTCAAACATTGTTAATTTCAAATATTGTTGAATCCACTACGGATGTGAAAGTCTGACTGCACCTCAGAAAATACTTTGATCATTTTAGGATCTGGAGAGACGGCTCAGAGGTTAAGAACACTTGTTGCTCTTTCAGAGGTCCTGAGTTTGATTCCTACCACCCACACAATGGCTCACAACCAGTTCCAAGACAGTTGACCCTATCTTCTGACCTCAGGCAAGCATGTATTGTACATATATACACTTAGGCAAAACACTCATACACATAAAATAAATAAATACAGAAAGTAGTTTTAAAGGAATTTCATCATTTTCTTTTTTAAGTTTTCTTGTTTTTAAAATTTTGCATTTGTTTATTTATTTTGTGTCTGTGTATATGTGCCTGTCAGAGGGTAGGGGCATTGTGTGCTATATAGAGGAAAACTTGTGGGAGTCAGTTCTCTCCCTCTACCGTGTGGGTCCTGGGGATTGAACTCCAGTCAGCAGCTTGGAGGCACCACCTTCACCCACTGAGCCATCCATCTCACTGACCCCTGATTATTTTCCCATTAAAGAAATCTCCAGTGCTGGGCGTTGGTGGCACACTCCTTTAATCCCAGCACTCGGGAGGCAGAGGCAGGCAGAACTCTGTGAGTTCAAGAGCAAGTGCCAGGATAGGCTCCAAAGCTACACAGAGAAACCCTGTCTCGAGAAAACAACAAACAAACAAACAAAAGTCTCCCATTGCTTCTCCCTTATGTGGAGACAGAGTTTTTCTTAGCATAGTAAGGACTTAGTGACTTAAGATCTAGGCTTGCTCAAGTTCACAGCCAGCTGCTGATAGCAGTCCGGCATTCGGTCAACCTGTCAGGAGGTCGTGAGTGGCTTGTTTTAGTCCTCAGGTGGCTTCAGGTCCAAGTCTGAAAGGTTTGGGTCACCTGACATAGATGGAGGGTGACATTGTTTATGCCTATGGGTGTCAGGGACAGAGAGAGTCTCCCTCCCACATCTTCCCTTTTTAGAGACCGCAGCAACCATGCAACTGTGACCTCAAGGTAAGGATCAGGGACCCAGGCTGAGGTCTCCTTATGGGGGTGTGAGAATGACAAGAGAAACCATGTAAGCCCTTGGTATCATTGCTGACACCCTGACTTGCCTGCTGCCATGGTGGTCTCTGTGCAAGCCTTCCCATCAGCCATCCTGCCACTTGTGCTGCCTGGGAGCTCTTTGCTCTTCAGGGCCATGTGTCTAACACTCAATCCAGCATCAGTTGGACAGTTGCTTTCCCAGATTACCTTGCAGTCAGAGCCAGTTGACCAATGACAC